GGAAGAGTTCAAAAGTCCTCCTCCCGGGGTCCTGGTCGGCGAGCGCCGAGAGCCATTTCATGCCAAGAAAGCCAGCGCCCATCTAGTCCAGGGCGTGATGGTTTATGTATCCGGCCTCTAAGCAACATCTCCAACAACATGAAATGCGGCGTGGTCTTACGTTTCTTCCGCATATTGTTTGGGGTGGGGGCGGGCAGGCACAGGTGCGAGAGGCGCGTGCGTGCTCCCCCAGGGACAAGACTCCCCCTAACATACCCCGCTGCTTCCGAGCAGCGTCTTCAAGGAGGCGGTACTGGGGGGTCAGAGGGACGGTCAGCTGATCTCCATGGACCTTGTCCCCACTCTGAGCGCCAGGTTGTTGATCCAGCTATGGAGGCAGCTGCAGGTAGGAGCTGGAGGAGCCCCCGGAGGAGACCTCAAGACCTCAGCAGCCAGGGGTGGCCGGAGGCTGAGGCCTAGGGACCAGGGCACACGATGTTGGGGCCTGGAGCCCCGGGACGCAGCCTGGAGGTGGGGGGAGAGGGCCTGGATGCGGCTACCTTCCTGGGCCACACCCTGTGCCGGCGGCTCGGAGGGCTGTGCCCTGGCCTGGGGGAGGGGCGGGGAGGGAGGGACAGGAAAGCCCCTTTTGGAGCAGAATGGAGGGTCGTGTTCTGAGTTTGGGGTTCCCCTCAGTCCTCTCAGTTAGTGAGCGCGGAAGGGGTGAGGAACGCGCCTCTCCCCCTCGCCCCTTTCGCCCAGCAGGTCTCCAGGAGGCGGCTCCCGTCGCCCTGTAAGTGGTGCCCTGGGCGGGGCTGGGCAAGGGCGGGAGGGACTGGGGGGACCCCTCAGCTGACAGGAGCATCTCCAGTGGCGTCGGGGTCTCCTTGCAGGAAGTTTGAGTTTAACCCAAAGCTGGGCATTGATAATCCTGTCCTGTCCCTGGCGGAAGACCGTGGCCCCTCTGGTAACCCCCTCGCCGGCCCCTGGGCAGCCGTTCCTTTCCCCGGAGACCTCGCGGCCCCGCAGGCCCCCGTCCCCTGGAGGCCACTCCCTCGGACTGGCCTCGGTTGGGAGTAACCACGGGGACAGAGGAGGCCAGGCATGTCCTTCTGTCCCGGCCCCGCTGCCCAACACCCAGCTGGGTGCAAGTCCACCTGTGCCCTCCCGGGGGCAGCGTCTGCTGGGCACAAGGTGACTAGCACTTGGGCCACATCCCTCCCCCCTCTCC